ATTAGTCATACTCCGCTGATATCTTTAAAAAACAAAGCTTACAGGACTCTTTTCCACATCTTTAGGCATATAGGGCAAATAAGGCTAGACCTATATTTTATGGACCATTTGGCACAAGATGGGTGATGTGGTCAGCTTCACGCTAGCCGCCTCTACTTCCTGGGACTGGGTTTACCTGGCAACCAAGGTCATTTTTGTAAAAAAAGTCTGACTCCGCCAGGGAGCGAACCCACGACTTTCCAATCTGCGATGAACGTGCTGATATCTTGGCTCCCTAAATACCAAAGTATATAGGAGTTGAAAAACAGGTGAAAGAAGTTTTGAGGTCAATAAGAGAAAACATTAAACACATACACAAAACACTATTACTGCTGTTTTACCGACTCACCCACCTTCCCCCACGCAAAACTCTAAATGTCACTCACACACAAGAAGTACTCAAAATAACACTTCACACATAAGAAATATTCCTAATGTTCCTTAACACACAATAAATACTCCAAATTTCACACACAAGAAACTCTAAATGCCACTTCAAACACCAGAAATATTCAAAATGTCACTTAACTCACAAGGAATACTCTAAATGCCACTTTACACACAAGAAATACTCTAAACACCGTATTAAAGAAATATTTATCTTTTATTGTTACATCCTCTGCATGAGCCTTGCAAGCCAGTAAGGACAATCAAGTTACTTGACAACTTCAACTTTCTAGTTGTGAGCAAAGATTCAGGCAGCATGATATGAGAATAAACAGCACCAGCCCAAGAAAACACTGACACTGATGCTGTCATGTGTTTATCACCAGTCAGCAGGTGGACATAGACTGTTAGTGTTGACTGTGTTTACCACCAGTCAGCAGGTGGACATAGACTGTTAGTGTTGACTTGTGTCCACTCCTGTGGAAAGTTCTCATTGTTCATCCACTTCTAGACTTTAGTCTTGTTTCAGACCTGGAGTATTGCGTGCACACCTCCATTTTACTGATCTGTTTTATTTGTATGTCGGCTCTGTGGCTAAGTCGATGCGAAATGCCGGGTTCGATCCCAGTTGCGGGCAATGCGTCTTGCGTTGAATTCGACAGTGGTATCAAGAAAGCCGACCATCCAGAAAGAAATGGCAAACTACTGGACGTAAATTTGCCAAGAGAAACCACAGGGGCTGTTAGGGTTGGTTCTGCAACGTCCTGTAAAGGATACGCAACAATCTTTTTTTTTTTATTTGTATGTAGATTCTTGGTTGTTTGCCTCTCAAGCAGATGCACTTCTACTTTGAAGAAAACATCACAAACTAGTAGAGCCCTACTACACGCTAGTTCAGGGACAGTGGGTCTATTTGTTCTCTCTTCCTGCAATGGGACCCTGGAACCCACACAGAGAAATAAAACCAAATCAGTCTCAAATGTTGAGAATGACCGCAGGTCAGAGTGAGAAGTTCAAGTGTGTTGAACAAAGTCAACACTAACAGTCTACGTTTACCTGCTGACTGGTGGTAAACACATGACAGCATAAGTGTTAAATCAGAAGACAATACAAAACTCTTTTACAGTATGAGAAATTAAAAAGACTTCAAAGTCACCCACAGCATTTTAAATTTCAAGAGAGAACAAAAAACAGACTGAAGCGTCAGAGCCCCAACCACCTTGCCAGAGAACTGTGCAGACAGCACCGAGATCTGCTTGAAAAAGATGTTGCGCTGTGCGAAAAACTTAGGTCAGAACCATGGACAAGCAAGCCAGAGAAGGCAAATGTAGTCCTAAAGGTACCAGGGATCATTTCAAAAGATGCCCAACGGAGACACAACAGAGAACCCTGGCTCTTGCTATGCTTGATGAGAAGTATCCCAACACCACTTGGACCCAGGTTTTCACCGACGGCTCTGCTACAGATGCAGTCAGAAAGGGGGGCTGTGGAATATACATTAAATCCCCTAGCAGTAGAGCAGAACCTCTCTCTACCAGCAGGTGACATCTGCACTAACTTCAGAGCTGAGGCAACTGCCCTCCTTTCTGCAGTCCAACATCTCATCACTCAAGAACACAGAGGGCACAAAATTGTTATACTTAGTGACTCATTGTCTGTTCTCGAAGCACTGTCAAGCAAAAAACAAGACAAACTAATTGTAGATCTAAAGACCAACATTGGCTTACTCTCCAAGGAAGCAGAACTGGTCTTGCAGTGGATACCAGCCCACTGTGGTATTCAAGGAAATGAGAGAGCGGATGAGTTGGCAAAAGCTTGGAGTAATCTTAAACAACCTCATCCACCACACAGCTACAAGGAAACCAAAACAGCGCTACAGCAGTCTTTAAAGCGGGAGTGGAGAAGGCAGAATGGAGATTACAGACCAGAGAGTGACAGCATAAACAAATTCAACAGGAAAGAACAAACATCAATTTTTAGACTTCGGACAGGACACTGTGGTCTTCGAGCACACTTGTACAGGATAGACATAAAAGAATCTGCTGCCTGTGATTGTGGAGCAGAAAGACAGACCCCTGAACACATACTACAGTACTGCCCTAACCTCTCCCAGCAAAGACTGGATCTGGCCCAAGGGAGCCACATTGCAAGAGAAGCTATGGGGGACCGGTGGCGACCTTAAAAGCACAATCCTATTTGTGGCACAGACAGGACTCAATGTTTAGCATGACTGATGTCAAACGCAGAAGAAGAAGAAGAAAATCAGTGTTAAACACAGTAAACACTAATAGTCTATGTCCACCTTCTGACTGGTGATAAACACATGACAGCATCAGTGTTAAACACAGTAAACACTAATAGTCTATGTCCACCTTCTGACTGGTGATAAACACATGACAGCATCAGTGTTGAACACAGTAAACACTAATAGTCTATGTCCACCTTCTGACTGGTGATAAACACATGACAGCATCAGTGTTGAACACAGTAAGATTTGATTTTGGTGAGTTCCTTTTATTTACTTTCCCGTCTTTAGCACAGTCCACTCATCATGCAACAAATCGTGTGCAGATTGTTGTTCTCATCAGTTTGTCTTGTAACTATACATTTATATTGTGTGTTGCTATCAAAGTAATATGCTTTTATAATCAAATTCAACAGCTGTGTGAGGGATGAGTATCTGGGAGGGCTGGAGAAAAAAAAGGGCCTGCGAGCGCAATTTTAGACCCTCTGAAAATAATCTTTATTTGATCACTCAACATTTGTTTCAAATTAGAAACTTTACATATTTTTTTTATACCCACATCTTGTATGTCAAAAGCAAAATATAGAAATATGCAGGACATCAGTAGCTTCCCTTAGTGGTGGGGAAATGTCGCAAGCTAGGTTGGTTCAGGCATGTGGTGAGACATAATTCGATTGCAAAGATTGTGATTCAAGGAACACTGGTGGTGGTGGTGGTGGTGGGGAGGAGGAGGGGGTATTTGAAGAATAGGAGGGCAAAGAAGAAGCTGGAATGACCACATCAAGAAATGGACCGGACTAAGTTATTATTCACTTATTCATCAAGCGGTAGACAGTAAAAGATGGCTGGTCTTTTTGCGCTAGTGCTCCATGACCCTTACGGGTCAAGGGTTATGTTACATATGCCTAATACAGAGGAAGAAAACTGGAACATTGTGCGACCACTAGAAAGATCTGTGGAAAAAGAGACAGAAGAAGATAGTGTGAGAAGATTTTTGATATCCTTTTATCTTGGCAAGGAAGGGTGTCAGCAAACGAACTGTTACACGCAGTTAAATATCGCAGATTGTGCAGTGGCATGATCTGGCTTGATGCCACTTGATGATGATGATGATGCTGATATATATTTCTTCTACTTCTACTGACTGTAGCAGTCTTGGGCGCACATGACTCTCTCATCTTCCTTGTTATCTTATATACTGATAAAGGTGATATCGCTGATACTTTCTAGCAGTTTAGATTTATACTGAAGTTAGTATTAATATCTCTGCTACAGCATGAAGAGTTAAACAGGCACTTGTGATCTAGACCAAATCCTTGACAGGACACGTTTTAGATAAACAGCTGTTGGCATCAAATGTGTGTCAGAGAAACAGCTGTTGGCATAAGATGTGTTTCAGAGTAACAGCTGCTGGCATCAAATGTGTGTCAGAGTAATAACTGTTGGCATCAAATGTGTGTCAGAGAAACAGCTGTTGGCATCAAATGTGTGTCAGAGAAACAGCTGTTGGCATCAAATGTGTGTCAGAGTAATAACTGTTGGCATCAAATGTGTGTCAGAGTAACAACTGTTGGCATCAAATGTGTGTTAGAGTAACAGCTGTTGGCATCAAATGTGTGTTAGAGTAACAGCTGTTGGCATCAAATGTGTGTCAGAGTAATAACTGTTGGCATCAAATGTGTGTCAGAGAAACAGCTGTTGGCATCAAATGTGTGTCAGAGTAACAACTGTTGGCATCAAATGTGTGTTAGAGTAACAGCTGTTGGCATCAAATGTGTGTCAGAGTAATAGCTGTTGGCATCAAATGTGTGTCAGAGTAACAGCTGTTGGCATCAAATGTGTGTTAGAGTAACAGCTGTTGGCATCAAATGTGTGTCAGAGTAATAGCTGTTGGCATCAAATGTGTGTTAGAGTAATAGCTGTTGGCTTTAAATGTGTGTTAGAGTAACAGCTGTTGGCATCAAATGTGTGTCAGAGTAACAGCTGTTGGCATCAAATGTGTGTCAGAGTAACAGCTGTTGGCATAAAATGTGTGTCAGAGTAACAGCTGTTGACATCAAATGTGTGTCAGAGTAACAGCTGTTGGCATCAAATGTGTGTCAGAGTAACAGCTGTTGGCATCAAATGTGTGTCAGAGTAACAGCTGTTGGCATCAAATGTGAGGTCAGATAAAGGAATATGTCAGGCTATCGGGAAAACTAATTCCCTCATTTATAGTGGACAAAGAATGAAAAACCTGACATGATACACTCAGACTCCAAAGTCATTTCATTGTCCAATCACTTTATATCATTCACATTTATTTTATAACACCCACAATCTGGTTATATCACTCACTATCCTCTAAATCAGAGTCAGAGTATTGCCCCAACAACCCTAAACCTGTACTGCCGGCAGCTGGTTTGACATCAACTGCTACAGACTCTCCAGCAGGGTGGGCTTCTCTGTCGCTGTTTGTCATTCTGTCGTTGTTTTCCACTTCTTCTTTCACCTGGATCAACTCTTGGGCTTCCGGTTTCACTGCTACAGGTTGCTGGGATGTAGAAGCTGGTGACTGTTTGGGGACCACTTTCTTCTTTACTAGTCCTGAGAGTACAGCTTTGGAGGAGAATGATCCAACACTGCGCTCCCAAGATTCCTTCTGTTTCTCCTTGACTTCCTTGATTTCAGCACACCCTTCCTGTCGGGTAAATAAATACATAAATTATAAATGCAGAAGTAATCTTTGTCTTTATAAATGCAGAAGTAATTTTTATCTTTATAAATGCAGCAATAATCTGTGTCTTCATAAATGCAAAAAATAATCTGTGTCTTTATAAATGAAGAAATAATCTGTCTTTTTAAATGCAGGAGTAATCTTTGTCTTTATAAATGCAGAAATAATCTGTGTCTTTATAAATGCAATAAATAATCTGTCTTTTTAAATGCAGAAGTAATCTATGTCTTTATAAATGGAGAAGTAACCTTTATCTTTATAAATACAGAAGTAACCTCTATCTTTATAAGTACAGAAGTAATCTTTATCATTATAAGTACAGAAGTAATTTTTATAAATTCTGAAGTAAAATGTGTCTTTACAGATCTAGAATTAATCTTTGCCTGTATAAATGAAGAGCTAATCTTTGCCTGTACAAAAGCAGAAGTAAAGTCATCTCTGCCCTTTTTTTTTACTGTAAAGTAAATCAGAGAGAGAGAGAGTGAGTGAGAGAGAGAGAGTGAGTGAGTGAGAGAGAGTGAGTGAGTGTGAGTGAATGAGCAAGTGAGTGTGATAATAGCAAACGTTTGATGTAAGGTTTGCAATAAACTGAATACGCTTTTAAAATCACAGTGTACCAATGTTTCTCTATGCTGACAATTACCTGGACCCTCAGAATGATTAATCTAGCTAAATGTTTTGACAGACGCTGAGGCACATGCATGCACCCATACAGCGCATGATTGGCCTAGACGGGGCAACAGAACAACTTGTGACAAGCGAAAAGATTTATGGAGAGAAAGAAAGAGGAAGACAAAAAGATAAACTGAGAATGTGACAGTGTACAAATATCTGAGAATGTGACAGTGTACAAATATCTGAGAATGTGACAGTGTACAAATATCTGAGAATGTGACAGTGTACAAATATCTGAGAATGTGACAGTGTACAAATATCTGAGAATGTGACAGTGTACAAATATCTGAGAATGTGACAGTGTACAAATATCTGAGAATGTGACAGTGTACAAATATCTGAGAATGTGACAGTGTACAAATATCTGAGAATGTGACAGTGTACAAATATCTGAGAATGTGACAGTGTACAAATATCTGAGAATGTGACAGTGTACAAATATCTGAGAATGTGACAGTGTACAAATATCTGAGAATGTGACAGTGTACAAATATCTGAGAATGTGACAGTGTACAAATATCTGAGAATGTGACAGTGTACAAATATCTGAGAATGTGACAGTGTACAAATATCTGAGAATGTGACAGTGTACAAATATCTGAGAATGTGACAGTGTACAAATATCTGAGAATGTGACAGTGTACAAATATCTGAGAATGTGACAGTGTACAAATATCTGAGAATGTGACAGTGTACAAATATATGAAGCAAGAGACTGCAGAATGTGGAGAGGTGTTACTGCCTAGGTTTGGCAGCAAAGGACTCGATGGTAATGATGATGATGATGTTGACTGATGACAACAGCAAAGATGATACAAAATAGACAATTGCGTTGATAATGGTAGTGACAGTGGTTGTGACACCTCAGCAAGTTTGAAATAAATGATCCAGACTGTGGGAATGGCAGTACACGGTAATGATAAACTCACCGCCAACACATCTGTAGGTCTTGCTGCAGTTATTTTCTCTTGCCGTGACTTTTTTGCTGAAACCTCATCATCACTATCATCATCCTGAATCCTCTTAATTGTCTGACTGGATACCCCCTTTCTCATGATTTCCCTGAAAAATGTCAAATGAATCTTATCAATCTACTAATGTTTCTCATTCACATAAACCTTGTATGGGGGAAATATCAGTAGAAAATGGACCATGTTGCATTGGGGGGGGGGGGGGGGGGGGTTGAAAGGGAATCTAGGAGAAATTTACTGGAAACAGAGTAAAAGCTAAACATCTAAGAAGAAAAGCATTAAACAGCTAGAAATGTTCTTCTCCAGCTGTAGGAGACTTTTATTCATGCAAGTGGGTCTTACTAGTCCTACTGGCCACTGCCATCGGCTGTCTTCTTCTTCAGTCCTTCTATAAGAAAACTCAAATCAGGAGGCCGGTTGCCTCTGTGAAAGCTATCGTGCAGTCAAAATCTCCCTGTGTACCTAGAACTTTGTCTTCATTGAGGTTTGAATATGCCAGATTGCATCTCTGTCAGCAGCACACAACTGACAGCATTTGAACACAACATGCTTATCATTTTCTGCTGCCAAGTTGCAGTGACACATCTCCATGATTCCTACACTAAAAAATGTAATCTATGTTGTTAGTGAAATCTGGTTTATACAGTTCTGCTGATTCTGGAGAAAACTGGTAAATAAATAATCTCACTAGAAAAGGCAGGATTTAAACCCAGGATTAGAGGGGGAGCTAGCAATTACACCATGACATCTACCTGCAGACGTAAAAATAATTACAAAATAAGAAAAGGTGTGTTCTTCTCCCAATCCTGGGGCAGTGGATCAGATATCTAGACTTCTCAGATAAAAGTGGCAAAAATATGGGGGATATATACAAAATATGCATGTTACAACTTGGCCTGTAACTGGAAACTGAAGCTAAATTTTTATATCAAAGCCTACTCAAACACAATTATGAATCGCAAATGTGTGATTCTGATAAAACGTAGTTTTGGACTCTTGAGAGGCGAGCAGCGCATTAAAAAACAGGCCCTAAAATGGGGGGGGGGGGGGGGGGGAAAGGACATCTCAACAAAGAACAACTTTTAAAAAAAGGTTCCTTAGAGGTCAGACTGGATTCCATCCGTTATATCTAAAGGATTGCCCAGACTGGATTCCATTCGTGATATCCAAAGGCTTGCCCAGACTGGATTCCATCCATGATATCCAAAGGGTTGCCCAGACTGGATTTCATCCATGATATCCAAAAGGGTTTCCCAGACTGGATTTCATCCATGATATCCAAAGGGTTTCCCAAACTGGATTTCATACATGATATCCAAAGGGTTGCCCAGACTGAATTCCATCCATGATATCCAAAGGGTTGCCCAGATTGGATTCCATCCGTGATATCCAAAGGGTTGCCCCGACTGGATTCCATCCATGATATCCAAAGGGTTGCCCAGACTGGATTTTATCCATGATATCCAAAAGGGTTCCCCAGACTGGATTTCATCCATGATATCCAAAGGGTTTCCCAGACTGGATTTCATCCATGATATCCAAAGGGTTGCCCAGACTGGATTCCATCTGTGATATCCAAAGGGTTGCCCAGACTGGATTCCATCCATGATATCCAAAGGGTTGTCCAGACTGGATTTCATCCATGATATCCAAGAGGGTTACCCAGACTGGATTTCATCCATGATATCCAAAAGGGTTCCCCAGACTGGATTTCATCCATGATATCCAAATGGTTTCCCAGACTGGATTTCATCCATGATATCCAAAGGGTTGCCCTGACTGGATTCCATCCATGATATCCAAAGGCTTGCCCAGATTGGATTCCATCAGTGAAATCCAAAGGGTTGCCCAGATTGGATTCCATCCGTGATATCCAAAAGGGTTGCCCAGACTGGATTTCATCCATGATATCCAAATGGTTTCCTAGACTGGATTTCATCCATGATATCCAAAGGGTTGCCCAGGCTGGATTCCATTCGTGATATCCAAAGGGTTCCCCAGACTGGATTTCATCCATAATATCCAAAGGGTTTCCCAGACTGGATTTCATCCATGATATCCAAAGGGTTGCCCAGACTGGATTCCATCCTTGATATCCAAAGGTTGACCAGACTGGATTCCATCCATGATATCCAAAAGGATACTATTTTTAAACACCTATTCTGAGGACAAAATTAGTCCTGAAAGGGAGCCAGCAAGGTGCAGCAGTTAAATGCTTGCCTGCAGTTCCGAAGATCATGGTTCAGGTCCCGGCGAAACCAGACTATTGTTTTTCATAAATGACATCGGCTCTCAGGTTGATCAATAATCAATTGTAATCAATGCACTCACTGGACAAGCCGATCCTCCTCCTCCTCCTGCAGCTTCAGCAGCTGCTCCTCGTACAACATGTGCTGCTGCAGCATCTCCTCATGGTTGACTTTGGCATGGCGGGCATTCATCTCCCGCAGCTCTTCCAGCTGATCCAGTTGCTCCATCTCATTCCTGCTTGCCTTGGTGCGGTTCTCCAGAACCTGTTGTCAAAATAACAGAGAATAGTATATTGTGTTGTGGTTTAAAGCTAGGCTATGATATCTGTGCCTTTTGGTCCAACACATCTTATTTTTACAAACACCTAATAAGTCGTCTTTTACATAATGCTTAATGGGGTGGGTGGCGGTGCAGCCAGGAGGTCTATTCTTTTCTCTGCAAAACAGGATCCCAAAACCCACTAAAAAATGGCTCTTTTAAAATCCAGTATTTTTTCATCTCTTACCCTCTCTATACATACATAAATATTTAGAAATCTAGGAATGTATCTTGTGTGCATGCATGTGTGCATATAGTGTTTTGAAAAGGTTTAAAGGTAAGAAGCAAACAGCACTAGGATGGCCTAGTCTCTGTGTACAGGCTGGTCGTCTCTCGAGAGACAAAGTAAAAAAAAAAATCCACTGCTCAAGCAATAGTCCTCAGAGATTTCCAAAGTGATGGCTTTAAACTGCTAGCTCATGGTCACAAAGTTTTCAGATTAAGCATTCATACACGTAAAACTCAATTACAGCTGGAAGCAATTCCTTGGTTGATAAAGCCAAATAATTCCTACATGGAACTTCCGGTGCAATCTGCTGGATAAGCAGGCTGGCCATTGAGGTTTCTGCACATTTTTGTCTTCTTCCTAATGTGGACTGAAAGTACAGTTCCATGGCTCAGCTACTGACTTGAGTGCATGTTGTGACACTGTGTTGTGAATTTCATGTGCAATACTTTCTGACTGTGTCCAAGGTGGTCTGTGTTGAGAGCTACAGATTCAGAAAATGGCAGGTGGCCTGTTACCACAGAACTAATGGTGCCTTATATATTATACAATATTACATGTGCATCTGCTGATTGCCTCTAACTGCTGCTTCTATCAATGATTAACTGGGATTCTAGTGGCTGACTGTTTGCGCTGGCAGCTGCCTTATGCATTTAAAGTATGCTGCCGATTTTGCCTGGACTGAGTTCTATTTCTGGTTTTCACACGTGAGAGGGACATGTTTTTGTGTGGTTATTGGCTGGTACAGGAACAAAGCAGCTAATGGGTGACCCGTGTGTTGAGATGGTGGAACTGCAACTAATGCCCAACATTCCCACACAAAGACATCAGCACCACAAATACAAGACCCCCTTCTACACCATATGGGACACTGCATGCATGAAGGGATACAGTATATATGAAAGTATACTGCATATATGGCTTAGCCCATATTTATTTTTTTCACCAGTTGACAGGCAAGGGATCATGTGGTTAACACAGCACCAATCACTGTGACCTTCCAGATTTTCTAGTACCCATTTCTGACCAGATGGCCACTGAATTAAATGTGTAAGTAGATTTTTTTTTTTATTGTTGACACATTCTATTTTGGAGGACAGCTTTTATCAAGTCTGCAGGAGATTCTGTCTTCCCAGATAGTGAACCCCTGTGGTCAGAACACTGTGAGAAAAGTGTACTAGAAGCTGTGGAAATTATCAACCATTATCCTGCTCCTACACAGCACAGCCACAATACATGCTGCCCCCCCCCCCCCCATAAAAACATGTATCCTGCACTTGGAGCGCACACAAAATAGCAGTCTATGACAAGAAACAACAATCTGAGAGTAACCACAGCCCCCGAAACAATAACAGATAAACCTAAGAGTCACAGTCAATAGTTGAGAGGACTGCCTCAATTTAAACATACGGCAACCAGCACAGCAGACAAGTAACATGCAAATACACACATAAACTGAACTATACACACCCAACTACACAAACACAGACTAACCTACCTACACAAACCCACACATACAAACTGACCCACACACACATACAAACCTACACACATACAAACCTACACACACAGCCCTATCTACACACACATGCAAAGACACAAAGAAGACAGCACTGTTTCAAATGTCTCTGTTTCTATTTCCCTATGTTAGACACGCATCTTCTTTTTCTTAGCCTCCACCGGCTGTAAACTCTGGTGGCTCAACCACTTCTGGACTTTGGTCTTGTTCCAGATTGTGACACACACTACTTCTGGTTTGTTTACTGTCATAAAAGATTCATTATCTTGCTTACTGTCACTATTTCCTCTTTACCTTCATTGGATTGAGTTCGTCTTCCTCTTTCTCTTTTCTCTCCTTTTCTGCCATCTGGTGTGCCAGCTTCTCTGCCTCAAACAGGCGTGTGGCTCCAGCTTCCAGAGCATAGTCTGTGTTCGCGAGATCTGTCTGAGTACAGCAAAAATCAACAATCATTTAAGCAGAACTAGCTATATTTACAATCATGCACACAAAATATTGGGGGAATGTATTTGGCTGGTGTAGAAATGACCCCATGTGTTGTTTGGAATGTAAATCTATAGGTCCACATCAAGCCCCTGTTATATGCTGACATCATGTCCCTGTTATCTCTCACTTGATATGGCAACAGGATTCAGGCTTTCAAATGTAAATGCTACAGACGCATTTAACGAGTTAGTTATTTAGAACACAAAACTAATAAATATGTCAGAGACAAAGTAAAAAAAATTTGCGGGACATCAGGAGACTCTCATGGCAGTGGTGAAACATTGCAAGCTAGTGAGACATGATTCGATTGCAAAGACTGTGCTCCAAGGAACATTGGGGATAGTTGAAAAAGAGGAAGGCAAAGAAAAACTGGAATGACAACATCAAGAAATGGACAGGACTAAGTTATCATACACTTATTCATCAAGCAGAAAACAGAGAAAGATGGCGGGTTTTATGTGCTTGTGCTCCCATCAATACAGCTTCACGACCCTAATGGGTCAAGGGTTATGTTATGTTATGATGTCTAAATTTCCCTCTAGCTTCACTGAGAGGCCACAAGGTCATGGCATGATTCACACAATACATATTTTAGGCTCTGGGAATGTAGCTCAATGAAAGCTTCACTCTGTTTGTTTATTGTTTCATCCTTTTAAATTTATATCTGTACATATTTTTAACCCAAAAAAAAATTTTATGTACACAAATACATTTTACAAAAATCATTAGTTTTGTCTTTTTAAAAGGATTTTTTCCCATAATTCCCCAAGGGTTAATGGCTATTGTTGTCAGCCATTCTCAAGGTGAAATGGTTCAGTTGTTAGTCGGTTCCTTGGCTGAGTAAAGCGGTTACCTTGTTTCCTGATAAACACTGACTGATTTGATAAAAAGAACACAACTACAAAGGACTGAAACTGTCTATACAGCCAGAATTACCTTGAAAGCAATTTCTGCCACACACCGAGGACACCTGATGTAGAACCTGAAGATTCTCAAACCCAGGTAGTCTTCATTGTCCACATTCTCCTTACGAGAATTGAACTTCTTTCCTTTGTAGATATATTCTCCACATGTGTTGCACCTGAGGATTCATGCAAAACTGCTCATACACATGTGTAAACAACAACCAAAGTCAACATGAAAATTTAAAAAAGAAATGAATTTAAAAAAAACAACAACAGAACAGTCCCTACACCGTCCCACCTGTGATAGCACAATGAGATTGGCCAATAATGTCAAGTAACCCTCTGTTTCCACAACTGTAGGCGGCTCAAACATCCACTCACTCCATTCCAAATCATAAATAACAATATGCCCTCATGCTTTCTTTAGTCCTTGGCTTCATTAACTCCTCACAAACAAAAGAATTTAGCACAAAACTGTTGGCAAGATTTGTATCTGAAGAAGATGCTCCACTCAGTAGCATCTGCTCAGGATGTTCTTTAAACTAGCACCAACTAAGATGTTCTATAAACTATCATCTGCCCAGGATGTAGCACTCAGTAGCACCTGACAAGACTATGCCACAAACTAGCATCTACCCAGGATGTTGCATTGAGTAGCAAAAGACAAGATAATGCCACAAACTAGTATCTACTAAGGATATTCTATAAACTATCATCTGCCCAGAGTGTTCTATAAGCTATCATCTGCCCAGAGTGTTCTATAAACTAGCATCTGCCCAGAGTGTTCTATAAACTAGCATCTGCCCAGGATGTTCTACAAACCAGTACCCAGTAGATTTCACTGGCTGGAAGGACACAAAAACATGCAAATGTTAACAGAAATCTATACCTCATATTGAAGGGGGCCATTATTCTGATGCTGAATGTTCTGTTCTTGCCCTGCTTGAGTTTGGGGATCTTTGATGGATCAAATTCTGGCGGATAGTATTTCTGTGGAGAAAATACAATGAACAAAATACTGACACATTCACAATATTTTTTCACTACAAAATATGTACACTAAGCAGTGAATTAATGAACAAGACACTGGTGCAGTCTAAGATTTTAAAAAATGTGGCTGCATACCCACATACAATTTTCTCCTCAAGATTCACTTCAGTCTTCTTCTTCTCCGGCTGCAAACTCCGGTAGAAAGTTCTGGCTGTTCGTCCACCTCTGGACATTAGTCTTGTTCCAGAACCTCAGTGTTGAGTGCACATCTGTTTTACAGATCTGAATTACATGTATGTAAGATTGTTGGTTCCTTGCCTCTCAAGCAGATACACCCTGACTTCACAGGAAGCCATCAATAAGTCGACTCTTACGACATGCTTGTCGGGTCTAGGCAGTGGGTCTATTCTTGTTTTCCCCACAATGGGGTCCATTAACCCACATGGGGAAATTTGCTTCATTACCTCTCTAGAGAGACGGACAATGTTTTATATTCTGACAAAGGACAGGACACAAAAGATTTTACCAACATAAGTTCGCATTTTTCATTGTAGGAAACACAGAGACATGTCCCTGCTGTGTGACCCCAGGAACAGCTGAACATGAGCTCCTAAGCTGTCAACTGTATGCTGCCAACAGAGATGCAATCTGGCCCGTTCTAACCTCAATCAAGACAAAGCTGTATAATACACAGGGAGATGTGGATCGCATGATAGCTTTCATAAAGGCTACCGGCCTGCTGGTATAACTTTTCTGACAGAAGGATCAAAGAAGAAAAAGACCAGTTCATCAAATCTATGTGGTTTTTTTTTTATAAAAAAGACACAGCCAACCGTCTGTGTCATTTGTTGGCACCTCTTCATCAGACCAGTCAATGCTGTTATACTGTCCTACAGGGAAATCACAGCCCATGCTAGTCTTCCACAATTAAAAGGACACTTGCAATTTATTGTGCTTCTTGTCATCTGTTCAGTTCTTTACCCATATGCAATAATTTCCCCCTTTATCCATAATCCCCTTCAGACTCCCCAACCCTCCCTACACCATCTGATTCTGCCATTTATTGTGTAGCATTTTATCCAGTCTGGCCAGCTGTGTGTCAATGGCATTTATTAATCTGTCTGCAATGAGTCTGTCTAGTAGTGTGACATTTTCTTTTTCTTCACATTCATCAGGTGTAAATTCTGAGGGAAAGTTCAGTCTGTGTCACTGACATGCTTGTTGGGAAGACAGTGGGTCTATTCTTGTTTTCCCCACAACTGGACCCCAAAAACCACACAGGGAATACTGTGAAATGATTATAACATTATTGTTATTATACCTCCAGGTGACGTTGACTTCTGTTTCCTGATTTTGCGTTATGTGTTTAAATGCTTGTAGAATTCTATAAGCCTGAATATAAGAGTATAAATCTCTCAAAAAGTCACTTTGAAGATCTGGAATTCTTTGTTGTGAGTCTAAAGGATGTCTAAAGGCTGGCACAGTCTTTACGTTTGAAATGTGAATACATTTCATTTTCAACATTACATTTAAAAACACATCCAAGGAATGAAAAGAATTCACAGGAACCTTTCGATATTTGATACTTACATTCAAAACTTTTCGCTCCGACATTGTGAAGGAGTTGTCTTTGCTTTCTCAGGGAAACTTTGTGGCACTTATAGTTTTAATAGCTACTTGTATCCAGATGTACGTCAAGTATGCATGTTCAGTTAACAGGCGCTGTATATGTTGGTAAACTGCAATTTAAAAAGAATGATAAATAACAAATGCTGAAACAAAATATAACAAGAAGACAAGTTCAAAGATGCAGGATAATATGGAATTAAACATGAGAGGACAGCAAGCAGAACAAGATATAGTTTTAATGCAGGGTGTTGTACAGCCAGCACATTATAGGCATAATTTATGTCAATAGTTATGGTTGACTTAACACTCAACAACATGCTAAAAGAGTAGCTGAATATGTACTTTGGGTAAATTTTACGCTTGTCTCCCATTTACACACCGCTACACACTACCTCGCTTCTGATTGGATGACCTACTGACCACCGCACTTCTGATAGGCCGGCCTCGAGCGATTCGATATTTTCACACAAGGTCACGGGAATATTCCACACTCGCGCTCATACCAGTGTGTTGTATATTTCACCATGCCAGAGCTTTCAACACTTCTAAAATATTTAGATACTGGGCCTAACACACAACCTCTCTAGAGAGTGACAAAGCTTATGTCACAGGCCGTCCCTTTCTCGGAAATAAAAACGTAAATACCAGAAAACAACAGACTGCAACACCCATAACCTCGACCACGGTAGACTAGTCCAACCAACTTATCAATGGAGTTGACCTACAACCGGTGGTGTGCAAATGGGAAGACCATCTTATCAATAACCATACTTTGTCAACAGTAGCATGCCCACCAGTTACCATATGTAAAGTAGAGAAAAATAAGCGTGTAACCCACCATGAATGTGCTAAGATGTATCTAAGTAAAACTTAAGCTCTAAGATTCTTCTTCTTCTTCATGTTCAATGGCTGTAAACTCCAGCAGAACAGTTCTGGTTGTTCATCCACTTGTGAACTTAAGTCTTGTTCAGTGCTTGAGTTTGCATACACCACTTTACAGATTTGGCTTATCTGTGTGCAGACTGTTGCAAGTGGATTCCTCCTTTTATTTCAGTCTCCTCCCATACGTCATCCTCTATATCATATGAGAAACTATAAAATAAATGGAAAAATGTACAATTGGATTAAAGCATATCTACATAACAGAAGAGCCCGGGTACAGGTAGATGGTTTTAAAAGTAAAAAAGTTCTACTGCGACAAGGCGTCCCTCAAGGTGGTGTCCTGTCGCCCACACTTTTCCTTTTATTTATCAACGATCTGGTTGCTGAGATACCAAATGGAATCAAAATGGCAATGTACGCTGACGACCTGGTACTGTGGTGCACCAATGAACATGCAACGATAGCCACAAAAACACTACAGCGGGCTACAAATGCACTTGAGGCATGGGCCAATAGATGGTGTGTCAGCATCAACACAGACAAATGTAGCACCACACTATTCACTCTCTCCCCAAAGCAAAAAGCCGACACCATCAAAATAAACGAAATACCCCTGAGAGATGATAAAGAGCCCACATACCTAGGAGTCACATTTGATGACAGGTCGACATGGAGAAAACATATCAACAAGGCAAGCAACCAAAGCCAGGAGGAAGACAGCAATTCTAAGAAAACTAAGTGGAAATCACATGGGGAGCAGATGGGGAAAATACTCAATAAAGTGTACAAGCAGAGCATACTTCCACACTTGGAATATGGGTCAACTGCATGGTGTTCAGCATCTAGTACTACATTAAAGGAGTTAGACAAAGTGCAAAATCAAGCGCTCAGAGTCATCACAGGAGGGATGAAAATCAACTCCCATATTAGAAATGGAGAAAGCTGGGAAAACACAGGCACTGAGAGAACGCAGAGATACAAAGTTGCAAATACAAGCTGAAAAGTTCCTCAGTATGCCAGATCACCCGATGGAAAATAGATTTAAGAACCTAGCCTTGGGACGGTTAAAAAGAAGCAGCTTTATACACCAAGCAAAAAGAATATGTAGACAAACTCCTGACCTTCCAGAAATTGGCTGCCCACTTAAAAGTATTCCGGAACAAACCCCATGGAGAGAAAAATGTAAACTAACGGTACAAATCCAGACAAATGTGAAAGGGATATTTGACAAGAAAGAGCAAGATAGTGTACAACGCAGAATGGCCACCCTCAGTTATATTGATGAAGAATACCCACAAGAACAATGGGTCAGAGTCTATACAGATGGGTCCGCAGAAAGTGCAGTTAGAAAATGGTGGTGCTGGAGTGTACATCGAATTCCCAGATGGTACTAGGGATAAGTCCAGCGTACCAACCGGGAAGTACTGCCATAACTATGATGCAGAAACCCAGGCTATTAAGATAGCTACAGAGAAACTGCTAAATACCAACCTTGGCTTACAGTTTGTGGTAATGCTCACAGATGCTAAATCAGTACTTGAAGCACTCCAGTTTAGGAAACTACCAGAATTGCAAACACTGCTGACACAACTCAGCGCTCAGCGAAGAGTCGTAATGCAATGGATACCGTCTCATTGTGGAGTGCCTGGAAATGAGAAAGCTGATCAACTGGCAGGGGAAGGTGCGAAAAAAGAGCAGCCAGATGTACCAGTCACATACCACCAAAAGAAAAGAATCATTAAATCGATCAGGAAACCACAAGCCCCAGCACAAGACGACTATTTTATTATGGACAGACCAGAACAAGTCATTATCTTCCGCCTCAGAACAGGGCACAACCGATTACGTAACCACATGTACACAAAATTCAAGATAGGTGTATCAGCCATGTGCACCTGTGGAAATGTGCCCCAGACCGCAGAGCATGTACTCCAGGACTGCACCGAATTTGACACATTAAGGCAAACCTTTTGGCCAGAAAGAACAACAGTGGAACGTAAACTCTATGGACCACTGAATGAACTAACAACGACAGTGAAATTTATACAAGAGACAAAACTGCTGATATAGATAACTTATTTCAGGCGAACAAAAGAAGAAGAAGAAGACCTACAACCGGTGGTGTGCAAATGGGAAGACCATCTTATCAATAACCATACTTTGTCAACAGTAGCATGCCCACCAGTTACCATATGTAAAGTAGAGAAAAATAAGCGTGTAACCCACCATGAATGTGCTAAGATGTATCTAAGTAAAACTTAAGCTCTAAGATTCTTCTTCTTCTTCATTCTTCATGTTCAATGGCTGTAAACTCCAGCAGAAAAGTTCTGGTTGTTCATCCACTTCTGAACTTAAGTCTTGTTCAGTGCTTGAGTTTGCATACACCACTTTACAGATTTGGCTTATCTGTGTGCAGACTGTTGCAAGTGGATTCCTCCTTTTATTTCAGTCTCCTCCCATACGTCATTCCTATATATCACCCCAAACATCACATGAGGATAATTTCAGCACAGTGCACAAACCTCACAGCATCAGAAAGGATTCAAATATGTGCACACCAGGAAAATCTCAGCAAACCAAGAAAAAAAAAAGCCCCTTCTGCTGGAAGAGAAAGGAACTGAGTCAAGAACTGACATCACAGCACTCGGGGCGTTCCCAATGTGCTACACCCCCACCTTCAGCAGCAAGCACAGAGTTCCAATACTAATTGTACCGGGCATAGTCTGGTTTTATAACACTCACACTCAATTACTAGTCACCCCCTTGTGGAAATGCAATTTTTTGTTATTTTGAAGCCCCCCACCCAGTAGCCGCAATATAGCCCAACTATAAATATGGTCTAATGGCTGAACGTGGTTTCCGGGATCTCTCCGTGGGTGATCCTCATCCACATGGTGGCACTTTGTGTCATTGGGTGTTCATCCTTTGTGTGATGTCCTAGTGGGGTAAAATGTACTACTACTACTACTACTAGTCTGGTTATATGACTGTCTTATCTCTGAGTGTAGTGAGTCGGCTAGACCCTCTGGTCACACCCAGTGCCTCATTCTCTCTAAGCTCAAAACAATCCAGTTTATTTTCTGTCTGTGTTACTTAAAAACGAAGTGATGTAGAGCTGCTATGGGATTTATAACGTGAACATTTGGCAGGATGTTGACCACATCACCTGTTGAGTGTTGACTGCTCTACACAGTGGTTCTCAATAAAATAAGAAAAATGGACCCCTCTTATCTGCGGAGGTATGGCACGAACCCCATGCCTCTTAACAACCATATATATTTTTAACATCTATATTAGAATACATATAATACAATATATCCTTGTCATTGAGAGTTAGAAAAAAGAATTCTTGCTTGCTACATACATCCAGTTTTAACATATGGCTATGAATCCTGGACAATCGGTAGGTAGGCCTAACAATTTCTGGAGGCCTCGGAGATGTGGTTTTACTGAAGAATGCTTAGAATACCTTGGACAGCCAAAAAGAGCAACCAAGAGGTTTTGAAAGAGGCTGGAGCCCGAAGACAACTTATCACAGACATCAGAAGAAAACAGTCATCATTTTTCGGCCATGTCATGAGAAGAGGGAAAATAGAACATGTTGTGACCACTGGAAAGATCTGTGGAAGGAGGGATAGAAGAAGACAACGAGAGAAGATGCTTGACAGTCTTGTTGCATGGCATGGAGGTGTGTCGGCACACGAACTGATACATGCTGCAGGAGACCGAAGATTAGGGAGTGGCATGATCGCCCACGCCAGTCGGCAAGGCACCTGATGATGATGATATTAGAATACAAGAATCACAGAAAAGAGGGTTGAGGTTTGTTTCCATTTTTTTTTTTTCATTTTGTTAATCGTTTTTTTTTTCCCGTTCACCGGTTGTAAGCTTACAAACAGTGAACGCAAAGCAAAAACAAGTTCTGGTTCTTTATCCACCTTTGGACTTTTATTTTGTTCCAAAACTGGAGTTTTATGTGCACATATTTTTTACATGTCTAGCTTATTTGCATGCTGACTGGTTCATTGCCTCTTGAGCCGATGTATTCCAGCTTCGAAAGAAACACCTAATTAGTTGACTCCTATGACATGCTTGTTAGCGAG